AAAAGAATGACAACACATTCCACAATTCTACTCCTTTCTATTCCCCCTCCCAATTACTACACTAATGAAACAACATAATGAAATAATAGTGTGTGTGGCAGGCCAAAGATCCTAAAAAGGAATATAACTGCAGGCCTGGCACCCTTCCAATTCTGTTATTCTGTTATTTTGTTGTTCTGTTAACTTGCTCATACTGAAGAAGCTACTTGATAAGCAACCAAATGTTTCAAAACCAACAAAAAAAGAAATCCAGTTGTCATGACTTAAAGTTCACTTAGATGTGTTATTGAATTGTTATTTATTGCACCTGCACACAAAAACATGATTTTTAAAAAATATCTAACACACAATAAATGTGCTTTATTTATTCAAACCAATTGAATTGTAATATGTGGATTCTCAAATTTCATCCAAAGTTGATAGAACCTTATCCCAAATTGTCTATGATCTTCTATCACTTAAAACTACTGCATACTTGTGCTGGAGGGGAGGGAGGGGTGAGTTATAAGCATTTCCTGGAAGGGATCTCAAAATCCAAAGAATTAGTGGATCGATTATGACGTAGTGCTAAATCATAATATGATTTGTTTGGGTTTGGTTTATAGTGTTGTGTGAAGAATGCCAACTATGGTTTGAGCAATATTTCAAAAGAAGGTTGTTGGCAGTGCCAATGATATCACAGCACCCTCCCCATGCCCCTTGCGACTCCTAGGCAAAGTGGGGCCAAAAAGATTAATCATTCTGCCAAACCATGACTTTGTTAACTATAGTTTCTTAAGTTAATCAACCAACACAACATCCTGGCCACAAGCTATAGCTTGCAAATCTTAACAGATGAATTTATTCAAAATGCTACACCAGAAACAAATACTCTACATGGCTTAGAGAAATGAATGAGCCAGGCCAATCTCAGTTTCGGTAACACAATGGTTTCCTGCATAGGATTGTTCCAGAACGAAACCAGTAATCTGAAAATATCAAACAATGAGTATCTGTATTGCAATTACAACCAGTAGAAAAGTTTTGTCCATTTTTAGCTTTCAAGCATTAACATTGCCCTTTATCAAAATCATCAAAAAAAAAATACCCAAAGTCTGGCCAACAAGGATGCAGGCTGACCCATCTCCACAGGAGAAAAGATCTGGGTCTTTTTAGAGGAGCTTAATGTTGGCTTCAGAGTTCAGCCTTTTTGCCGACAGCTTCCTGCGCTGGCTGCTTGACGAGGCTGGTGGCACATCGGAAACTCAAGTTGTCTGAAGAAGAATCAGGAGTGTTCCCCATCCTGTGGGTTAAGAGGAACAAAGTTTGTCTTAGCAGAAGGTCTCCTAGGTCATCTGGCCCAAAAATCCAGAGCTACTTCAGCCTTCCAAAAATTTTTCTCTTCCCATGTTTTAGGACTATAAACAAAACTCTGCCTGGGAAATTCTATGGGTTGCAATCTAAATCTGAAAAATGCTTTTAAAGTATCATGATTGCACTTGTATACTGTTGCTTTTTTAATTCTAGTGTAAAAATAGGAAGCTGAATATATTGATAGATAGTAGAAATACACCGAAGGGAGGAGCAGAAGGAAAGAAGAAAGAGGGGTAGAGAGGGTGGGAGAGAGGATTGGAGGGAGGGTGAGATGGAAGGGAGGGAGTGTATTGGGAGAGAGGAGTGATAGAGGGGGAGGGGAAGTAGGGTAGAGGGGAATGTTGTAGGGGAGAAAGGAAAGTTGGAGGGGGGTGAAAGAAAGGGTGTATGGAGGGTTGAAGTGGTATATCGGGTTTGTATTTTGGGGAGTATTGTTGCTGTGTTTATTGCTCAATGTTATATGGCCCCGGTTATGCACAGTATATATGTGACTGTATGAAATGAAAATGAAAATAAAACATATTTACAAAAAAAAAATAAAAAAAAAATCTGAAAAATGCCAGAGTGGGGAAAGTGGGATTTTAGTTCATTCAATCAGTTTACTCTTGGTGAGTTTAAAAAAAAATCCCCACTTAATTAAGCAATGGTAAACATTAATGTTCCTTTAAATGTTATTTAATAGTGATCATAAATTACAAAAAAAGGATGCATTTTTGCTTTTTCATACTGTTGCCCAGCTGTCTGGAGTTTGTATGGGCAATTCAAGATTTCTCTTTTCTGAGGAATTTCCAGTGACCGAATTCAGCATCTAGCTGCTGTTTTCATTCATAATGTCTCCTTTTGCCGGTGGAATGTCAGTTTGCTTTTTTATCACTGGAAATCCTGGCTATTTTTGACAAATGACTAAGCAGCATCATGTTATTATACCAGAAGCTCCACCCTTTTAAAATGCCTATGTGATGTTATGACACACATACAAAAGGGGCAGGACTTGCTACACAACGGTGTGCACTGTTGCTTTTGTCAGACTGATGGCTGCTGCCAATTGCACTTGTCCAATGTACTACAAGTTTTAAATTCTGGAGAAGATACTGATAAGATGTCACCTGCCAGCATACCTGGTTGTAACCTGAGCTTTGTGATTGGCAGAGCCATCCACTGTATCAATCCAGGATGCTCCTCGCAGGACATGCATCTTTTGGCCCGGCTGGCGGGATGCAGGACCATCTGGACGATACTCTGAGGATGTCCATTCCCAAGTATTTCCTAACAAATCGTATAAGCCTGTGATACAGCAAAGACAGTAATTCACTTGGGGAAGCCTCCAATCTGCCTGCAGAGAAATATATGAGCCTTGGAAGATCAGAAAGGAAAAGAGCAAATAGGTAGAAAAATGTATCTACCAGGTTTCTGAAAAACTGATGCTGGCATATTTTCTAGAATTAAACCCACAATCATACCACAAACTCAATTGTTGGCTGGAACAGAGGTTCCAATCCAGGTAGTCCTTGCACATCCACTGCAATATGGACCAGCAGCTCTGTCAATATCATGTAACTATGTCGGATTTATGTCATTTTCATTAAGTTAATCATTTGCTGTTGTTGTGACATCATGTAACCACAACTTGCAATTTTACTGCAAAGCTCTCCATTGATTCTGCTTGTCAGAAGTCAGTTTTGAAGCATAAAAATCGTGATCATGTGATCACGGGATACTGAAAAAACCATAAGGGTGAGGACTGGTCACAAAGCTACTTTTTCTTGGGCCATTGTAACTTTGAACATTTAACAGGACAGCCGTTAAGCAAGATCCACCTGCGTCATCCACAGAACTTTGTAACATGCAACTATGTGTTAGGAAGATAATTTAGCTTGCTAAAGAGAGGACTAAAACCTTCAACTTTCAAGAACCTTTATTTAAAATGCTTCCTATTCCACACCAGCATCCGCAGGCTGACCAGTTCCAATGACTAGGACCTGTCATCTTACCATAGTTATTCTGAGGAGGGAAGGCTGCCACTGGGGATGCTCCGCGGAAGCCATCTTCAGCTGTGTCGACTTCGGGGAAGTTACCCTGTGCAGAGGTAAACATGCAAACAACCGAGATAAATAAAAGACAACCAATCCAAACTGGGTGCCAAAATTCTCGTGTGTGCGTGTGTGTGTTGTTAGTTCAAGAATAGTCTTGAACACCCAACAATGAAGTGGTATAATTGATTGACTATTTATGTGTCACCAAATTGGTATTAACATTTAGTGACCTGAGACAGACAGACAGACAGACAGACAGACAAGATACAGAGACAGAGACAGAGAGATATTGATTGAATAAATGTACAGGATGCCCATCTCATATACATGACTTCAGGGCAGCTAACAAATAAAATAGAGCACACGAAAATAAAAAAGCAACCAGAATTAAAAATAACATAAAAAGAGCAAATGAGAACGCTGACAAACAAGCTATGGAAAAGGCTCCCTCAGGATGCCATCAGGATCCCCAGATTTGATGGCAAATCCAGGCTTCGATGCCTTGTGAAAGGCCATCAGGGTCAAGGCAAGTCTAATTTCTAGAGGAATGATGTTCCTGAGGGAGTCCTACAGATGGATCTTCTCCAGGACTTTCTGTCCCCAACCTCATCGTTCAGCTATTCCAAAAATGTGCCCTTTGCCACTACAACAGAGTCCATCCATTTCATTGTTGGTTTTAATATTGTTCTGCTTTCCTTCTATCTTTCCCAATATTACAGACTTTTTCACAGACCTAGGTCTTCAGATGATGTGTCCAAAATTTGATAATTTCAGCTTGGTCATTTGTTCCACAAAGTGCACTGTGTAACCAACAGCAAAGTATAAAGGGTTGATCATGCCAATAAAGAAAAGTCTTAGCCAATAAATACATGCACATGGGGAACAAAAGAATCCAAGTCTATGAAATGGTCTACCATAGTGCTTTTCAAACTTGGCAACTTTAAGATGTGTGGACTTCAACTCCCAGAATTCTCCAGCCAGCATGCAGCGAATTTAATAAATGTATAGGCTTTCTTCCTCTTTTACCACTTTGGGCGTCAAGAGAATAAAAGTATAGGCTGCCCATCTTACATACCAATACTTGCTGGCTGGAGAATTCTGGGAATTGAAGTCCATACATCTTAAAGTTACCAAAACTGACAAACACTTGTTTACACACAGGAATAGTCTTGAATTGGGATCAAATGATTTAAAAAGAAAGATTGGGGGTGCTTATTGTCACTACTCTTAAGGAAGAGTTGCAATGCTCTAGGATTGTATGCTTTTATCCAATTTTGCTTCTGGATTTGATTATGTCATCGCACTTTCTGCAGTGCAGTTATAAATAATTTGGATTTTTTATGGAAATTAAACACAATGTATATCGGTGTTGCAATTTTATTGGAGCCAAGTCACATGAAGGTTATACAGGAGCAATATAATCCCTTTATTTTGGATACTAGCAATAGCAATATTTCAAATCTCTATTTATTGTCAAGACTACATATGAATTCATTCACACATACACACAATCTGTCTCCTGTTTTTTACTGTCTTTTAAAAAAAAGGTTTTCTCTTGCTTTGATTTTCTGTTTAACCATTTTTGTCATTTTCATCATCTCTTTAGCTTTTTATTATGTAAAAATAAAAATAAAAAAAATCATTTTTTTATTTTGTAAAAATAAAAATTCCAGTTTTGGTCTCTTACCTGCCAGAGGTTTGTGCGGTTGGCTAAGAATTTGTTTCCCCAAGGATACAATCTGTCTACCAAAAAGGGAAAGAAAAAAAATAAAATAGAATGATAATGTCAATCCACACTATCAATTCTAAACGTGCCAATTTCCTCCCTTCAACCATTGACCCTGGAACAGTTTGTCTTTAATATCAAACATTAAAAAAGCAGGTGGATGATTAAAGTCTAAATCCCTAAATACAGTACTTTGATAGCACACTTAGGGATGTTGGTGCTACTGCATTTTTTTCTATGTATATGCCCATTGTGTGCTTGCTTACTCTTTTGTAATCCTTCTCTCTCCAATCTTTCCACTCTGCAAATGGAAGGAAAAGCCCAATACTGGCTGGGAAATTCTAAAAGTTGAAGTCACACATCTTAAAGTTGTTAATAGAGAAACACTACTGTAGACTGCCTGCTTGGATTAATAGGGCAAGAAACTTAATCTACATCAATGTTTCCCAAGCCTGGTAAATTACCCAAAATTGGGTAAAAGTGGCTTTCTTTGGCTAACAACATACAAATCCATTACCCAATTATGACAGAGACATTTAAAGTGACTTAACGTTTTACCTACCCCAGGTAAAAAGGGCTTTCTGATAATGGGTTTTGGGTACTGCGGGAAAAAGTTTGGGAAGCAGTGCACTAGATGCTATGGTGATGGATCTAAGACCACTTTGGTTCCTTGCTTACGTACTCTCCAGGCCTCCCCTAGCAGCAAACTCCCACTCCTCTTCTGTTGGTAGCCTCTTCCCTTTCCATTTGCAAAAAGCCTGAGCATCATTCCAGCTCACGTGCAATACTGGATAGTCTAGCCTGTCTTTGATGCTGGATCCAGGACCTGAAGGCTGAAGATAGGAAAGGATTCTAGTTATTTAAGGCACTATTATCCATTTCTCTCTTTGAAAAGGCTCTCAGATTGTCTTGCAAATCTCCGATCTTCCTCATATGCTCAGCCAATCTAATTTCTGTGTATGCCAAGGAGGTTATAATTTTTTTTTTTGCACAAACTGGATCAAAACCCAACTGTGATCTGGCCTCTCCACCATAGGCCAAACTAGTTTCTTGGGGTTATCTATCCCCTTGGGGATTTCTGGTTCTCCCAAATCCCTAAATTAAATTTGCATGCCTAAAAAGCTACTGCAAGGCAGAGCCTGCTAACATTTTCAGATGCCAAGTGTTCAAAGACAAATTAATTAATTCAATGCCCAAGACATCCTTGGTCTCATCCTCAAAGACCTTGGGCATACTCAGCTGGAAACACAAATGCCACATAATTTCTTACTAGAAATCTCATTAAAATCTTTTTTTTAAAAATCAAATATTCACAAGATGTGGTGAACTCCTGAATTCTTTTTTTTTGCCCTTTAAAAAGGACTAATTTTCAAATGTCATCAGGGGAGCCTGCAGATACCATCTAAGGGCACTCTGGATTTTCTAAAGCTGGCAAAACATGTTGTGTATTTTCTATTGGCAAGGTACACAGAGGGCTCCAACTAATGTTATTATGCATCTTGGATGTCAGCCCAGTCTATTGTGTATCCAGTACAGTTCACTAATCAACACTTTGGTACAAAAATCATGTATCTGATAACATCTGTATATTCCTCTTGTCCTCTAGCAAAGACTCACCTGTCTCCAAAATGCTTTCTCAATAGGAAGCCACCATGGTGCAGACTAAAGGGAAGAATAAAAGTAGAATGTATCAACAATTTAAAAATCCCAATTATGAACTGTTCCCTTCTTCATCAAAATAACATGTATTTGTCCCTCATTTTTAAAATAACATTGGACAATCCTTTTCAAAGGAAGAAAGATGGTATAAATTTAACCACAAATCTCAGTTCCTAAAAAAGGCCATTTTAAAAGAAAACAATGGTGCTAGCCCTTATGATTTCAAATACATTAGAAAGTGTTGTAATGTTGGTTGTGAGATCACTAAAGCTAAAATTGTTGCTCAATAATATACAGAACCCCAAGGGCTTGGCATGCCAAACTAGAATCAATAGAAGATATAAAGGTAAAAGTTCCCTTCACACATATGTGCTAGTCATTCCCGACTCTAGAGGGCGGTGCTCAACTCCGTTTCAAAGTTGAAGAGGCAGCACTTTCTGAAGACATCTCTGTGGTCATGTGGCTGGCATAACTAAATGCCGAAGGTGCACAGAACACATTGTTATCTTCCCAGCAAAGGTGGTTCCTATTTTTCTACTTGCATTTCTATGTGCTTTTGAACTGCTAGGTTGGCAGAAGCTGGGATAAGTAACAGGAGCTCACTCTGTTATGCAGTGCTAGGGATTCAAACTGCTGAACTGCCGACCTTTCTGGTTGATACGCTCAGCATCTTAGTCACTAATCAACTGTGTCCCTAACAGGAGATATACGCAATAAGTCGTACTTTGCAGTCTGAACATTTCAGATCACAAAATTTTAGGCAGGATGGCTGAAAAGATGTCACTTTCTGCCAAGATGCAGAAGCTACAGTAGGTGAAATAGATCAATTCACTTCCTGACAGTTCAGGTTACAATTAGTTTCCTAGAATGTATTACTTGTAGTTTCTCTTCCTGGGAAATCACCCTCTTAACACTCAAACTATTTCCCAATACTTGACTGACCCATTTACTGATGTAAATTGGTGCTGAGTAATCTATGAACTGTAAGACTTTCTGGAGTTTGGAAGGCAGGCAGGTTGATCAAAACCACCCCTTTCTCCCAAATACTGAAAAGTAGCCCTTTACCTCCAGTTTTTGCGTCACTTTCTTTTTAAGCTCTTCTG